TGTCTTTCTTTCTTTCTTTCCTCCCTTCCTTCCTTCCTTCCTTCCTTCCTTCCTTCCTTCCTTCCTTCCCTTTTCTCTTTTCTTTTCTTTTCTTTTCTTTTCTTTTCTTTTCTTTTCTTTTCTTTTCTTTTCTTTTCTTTCTTCTTTCTCTCTTTCTTTCACTCTTTCTCTCTTTGGTCTCTTTCTCCTTAGATGCTTTGTTTCTTCTTCTTCTTCTTCTTCTTCTTTTTTTTTTTTTAAAGGTTTTTGCCACAGGGCACATACACTTACCAGCGAGAGACAGACAGAAGGAAAGTGAGAAATCATGGCCCTGGGGGATGGTTATGCCACAATCCCTTCTTTTCTATTCTCCTCTTGGGATTTTGGCATGCACACACATGTGCCTAGGGTGATTTTCAAGCCACCATGTTTGGGACTTGAACCTCAGATGGCCACGTGAGAATCCAGTTCCTTAACCACCATACTACTTGCTGATCCCATAAATTCTCTTCTATCTGCTTTCTGAGTTTGTGAGTTCATTCACAGCCAGTGACCAAGGCCACCCTAACGTATTACAGACGTCATCCTTACAATTAGGTACAGTGCCTTAGAAGGAACCCTGAAAGTTAAAATTCTTTAACACTGTAGTGAATCTACCTCTGATCATTGCTAAAAGATTTATTTATTGGACCCGCAGATGGCATGGTGGTTAAGGTGTTGGACTCCCACATGGTTGACTACGGTTTGAGTTCTGGACCTGATAGCTTGCTTTTTCACTTTCCCCCTCTCTCTCTGGTCAAATTAAAAAAAAGGATGATAATAATAAATAAAATCAAGTAAATAATCCAAAAGATTTATTTATTTATTTAGACAAAAGGCAAATGCAATTGTTAGTGAAAGCATTCCCCAGTGGGGTATGGTCAGGCAACAATCCTTTCTTCTCCATTGGAAACACATGCACACAGCTGGTCTATTACCAAGGTCAGCTATGTTTACCAATGCACAATTTTTTTTTTTTTAGAATTATTTATTTTAATGTAATTAATTGATTATTATTATTATTTTAAATTTGCTATAGGACATGTGCACTCATCAGAAAGAGAAAGAGAGAGACAAGTGAGAAAACAAGCTGCCAGGTCCAGGACTGAAACTATAGTTGGCCATGTGAGACTCCAGCACTCTAACCACCATGCCATTTGCTGCCCTACCCCATGCACAGCTCTTAAACGCTGTGCCACAGAGCCTGCCCAAAAGACAATTTTCAAAAAAAAAAACAAGGGAACCAGCAGTTAGCGTAATGGCTATGTCGCTGGACTCCCACGTAGTCGACCGTGGTTCGCGTCCTGGACCTGGTGGCTTAGAACTCACGTCGGGCGCGTGTGCGTGCGTGCCCAAGATCCCGAGAGGAGAATGGAGGAGAAGGGATGGTGGCGTGACCATCCCCCCCTGGGGGGTGATTTCTCGCTGTCTGGGGAGCACATGTGCCCTATAGCGAAAACCTCTCCAAAAAAAAAGGTTAAACTTAGGAATCTGATACAGATATATAAATGGACTCAGTTAAAGATATTACTCATCTGTGAGAACCAGGTGTGTTTTAACCGGTTTTAAGTAAAACAGAAAAATAAATTTACATGGAAAGTAAAAGAATAATGAAACAAATCTGAAATGAAGGGGAACATTTCTGCCCTCCCCCAGCAGAATGAGGAAGGAGAGGAAGTCAGAATTCAGCTTCATCAGTCACCAACTGGAAGGAAAGGCTAGATGCTGGTACCCCGGAAGGATATGGACCGTGTGTTGAACTAAAGTCTTTTCTACACCAGTTTGAGACCATCTCTGTATCCTGGGTGTCCTTGTATCTTCGGGACCTGGGAGAAACTCAGGCCTGACTCTTCCCTAAGAGGAAGCATCCACCGGTGAGGTTGCTGTGGGCAGACTGCGGGGAGTGCTGCTCTCACTGGGGTCACCTCTGTTCCTAGCCAGGGCTGGGGCTGGAGGCTGGGGCTGGAGACTCGGTCTGCCGGCGAGCGTAATCCGAGGCGCGGAGCGTGGGCCGGCGTCAGGGATGAAGGGACACGGAAACCGCGGTCCAGCCCCGCCCCGCACTGCTTCGGTGCGGCACGGGGGACACCTGGCGGCCGCTTGTCCTCTTGCGCTTCTCCCGGCAGCCGACTAGACTTGGGGGTTTCGTTCACACGTCTGCGAGTCTAAGAAGGTGGCGACACCCCAGCTCTGCGCGAGGACAGGCCCGACCTCCTGGCGCCTGCAGGTGGGGAGGAACCCGGCTCAGGGTAGAAAGCCTGGGGAGGTGCTGAGCTGGCGTGTTCCGCATCTCCTAGCCCGGGGAGCCCGCGGAGGTGGAGGGTGAGTGCAAGAGCCTGACTGGGACGCACCCACGTCTCCCAGCGGGGCGCCGGGACCGGTCTTCACCAGCCGGTTTGCTCCGGGTTCATTTCCCGCTCAGTCCCATCCATTCCCCGGAAGGTAGGTCCCGCCAGACCGGTTCTGAATTTTCGTAACGCAGATCGTCGAGGAGGGCTGAGTTGGAGAGGCCCAGAGAGGCCAGGGCGAGGTACTTACCGGGAAGGTCACTGAACGTACATGACAAGGGGGCCGGGTCGCTGTGGGGACGCCCATCCCACACTGGTTTTCCGCGGACGTGGGAAATGGAATGGAAGACAGTAAGGGAGAAGAGAAAGGGGATTATGGAAAGTGTTAGATTAAAAAAATCAATCCCTTACTGTGTCTTTTGGGAGGCCACATAAAGTGGGATCTTATTTTCTTTCATATACATATATTTTTCTTTTTCCTTTCCTTTGTTTTGTTTTTCTTTTTGCACTCCACAGGAGACAGAGAGAGGGGAGAGTGAAAAATCACCCCTCCACCCCCGGCGGGGGCGGGGAATGGCCTTGCTGAAATCCCTTTTTCATTCTCCTCATCTAGGGATTTGGGGCACACCCACGTGTCCTGCCTATTTCTCAAGTTGCCGGTTGGGGACTCGAACCACTATTGGCCATGTGGGAGTCCAGCACCTTAAACACCAAGCCACTTGCTGCCCCACTTTTCTATATATAGAAAAATTGCTATATGGCAGATGGCCTGGCTGGAGAGAACGAAAGAAAGACTAAGATAGGGAAAGTGAGAAGGCACTTTTTTTTTTTGGAGAGATTTTTCACTATAGGGCGGCCATTATGCTAACTGCTGGTTCCCGAGAAAGCACTTTTTAAAATAATATTATTATTTAATAATTTTTAAAATTTTATTTATTCATTCATTTTAATTTGACCAGAGAGAGACAAACAGAGAGAGAGAGAGAGGGAGAAAGGAAGCCACCAGGTCTGAGACTTGAACCATGGTTGGCCATGTGGGAGTGTCCAGCACCTTAACCACTATGCCACCTGCTGGCCCTCTGAGAAAACACTTTTTAGGGGTGTTGGCCATGCCTCAATTTCTTCTTTTTTTCTCCTCTTGGATTTTTGACACAGAGAGGCACACGTGCCCAGGATGTTTTTATAAGACTGTGGTCTGGGACTCGAACCAAGCAGTTTGCCATGTGAAATTCAGCCACCTTAACTGTGATGCCACTGGTTGGCCCTGTTTTGTGCTGTTTAAGTGAAATGATTTTGGCCCAAAACAGCTGCAGTATGCCCACACTTGGATTCCTATGGCTAAACGGAATTCCTACAGGTTAGGCTGTTTTCCTGAGCTGCCTACTAAGTTACAGCCAATCACACTAGCCGCATTTCAGCCAGTCCAGAGAGCCCAGCTTTTAGGCTGTGCAGCCTACCCTCCAGCTGTAATGATGTCTCTACCTCACTCCTGCACTTTCGCTTTTGTACCTCACATTCCTGTTCCTGTACACATCACTTTCCTTTTCCAGAATTTAAATACCATGTGACCACGAGGCTACCTGCAGTTGTCCAGCAGGCCAGGAACAACTGCCTGATTTAAATCATGTTAAGATTTGCTCAATTAAAACTCTATTAAATCGGCTTTTCCCCCTCTTCTTTTAACAGTGTCTATTTGGATTGTGATTTTTTTTTTTTTTTAATATGATCCCTCCTGGGGTCTTAACATCTTCCACCACTGAGCTTTTATATTTACAAAACTGTGACACTGTTGTCACTGACACTATTGTGATGGCTGAAGTGGTCTCAACTGATTCATGTGCTTCGGTTCTAACCTTCAGTACCTTCAGTTTGTGGTACTGTATTCGGAGACAGGGCTTGTAAAGAGGTGCTGAAGGTTAAGGGAGGTCATGAGGGTGGGTTCTAATCCAGTGTGACTGGTGTCCTTATAAAGAGGAGGCGAAGACACAAATGGAGGAAGAAGGTGGCCATCTACAAGCCAGTGAGAGGCCTCAGAAGAAACCAGACCTGCCACACCTCAGTCTTGGACTTCTGGCTTCTAGCACTGTGAGAAAATACATTTCTGTTGTTTAAGCCACCTCTGTGGGATTTTGTTACAGCAGCCCTGGCAGACTGATACAACTGTATTTCAGGACAGTGTCTGCTGAGCATGCTTCAACTTGTTCAGAAAAAATAACCTAGGTATCTATGTTTCCATTTAAGCTTGGATGGTTTTATGTGTAACTCAGTCTCACTTGCCCCACAGTCTCTTGGTGCCCCTGCGAGCCTCTGAGCCCTTGTTGGAGTTGGATCCTGCTGGGGCCATACTCGTCTCCAGCAGCGTAAGACTTCTTTTCCTGTGAAAGCCTCCTTATGAGGTTAGCCTCTTGCAGTTGTGGGCTATATGTCAACTCTGCTGTAAGAATCATTCCTGTGTTAGATGACCCAGAGAAGTTGTTTTACTTTTTGACAAAGAGAGAGAGAAGAAAGAAGAAAGAAAGAAAGAAAGAGAAAGAAAATAAGAAAAAGAACAAAAGAGAATAGGGGGCCAGTCCCTTGATATGGTGCCTTAGGTGGTTGGATCTCATATGGCTGACTCTGTGGTTCAAGTCCCAGACCTAGCTGCTCGAGAAACACACTGGGCATGTGTGTGTGTGTGTGGCCAAAATCCCAAGAGGGGAATGGAGGAGAAGAGACTGCTGTGTGATCGTCCCCCACTGAGGGTACTTTCTTTCTTTCCTTCCTCTCTGTGTCCACAATCTCTTGTGAGTGCCTGTGCCCTCTGGAAAATTAAAAAATATAAAAGAGAGGCAGGCAGGTGGCATGTTAGTTGGGGCGCTAGACTCCCACATGATCAATCGCAGTTTGAGTCCCAGACCTGGTGGCTTGCTTTCTCATTTCCCTGCGCTCTCTCTGGTCAAATTAAAATAAATAAATAAGATAAAATAATCATTTAAAAAGAAAAAGGAAAATGGAAAATTATGAGCAGCATTTGAGAATCTATTTTATATTGCTTATAGCAGAAAAACAAACCAAAACCCTGCTTTATCACTAAGGCAAGAAACTTTTGGAAAACTGGTACATTAATGGTTTGCTGGTGGTGGTCTAAGCAGTCAGAGCCTTTTTCAGAGAATGTTACAGTAGCATATTTCAATGACAATAAAATCGTTGACGCCCTGTAGTTCAGTAATCTCTCTCATGGGAATAAGCCTGGAGGAAATAATGGTTTAATTAATAATTAAACAAAAGGTCGTAAATATGTACATGTGAAAGAGGTCCATTGTAGCATGACTTTAAAGAGTAAAAACTGGAAAGAAACCAAATTCTCAACAATAGCAAATTGTCCAGTTATAGAAAGTAGGCCAATGGAATATTATACAGCTATTAAAATGATAATTATGATGTAGGACAGGGGCATTGAAGGAAATCATCACATCTGAGGTGCTTTGCTCTTTTCTTACATCTTCTGTCTATTGTATTTTGTTTTTCTTTTCATTTTTCTGTTTGTATTCTCTTCTCCTATCTTACTTTCTTATTTTGCTTCTCAGCTTCCAACCAGTGAGTGTACAGACAGGTTTATGTACGTAGTATCCAAACCTTTGGATTTTGTTAGGCTTTGAGTTGCACAAAGGGAGAAATTCCTCTTCATAAATCTGAACTCAAATCTCTCTCTGTGGATACCACATTGCAAAACACAGTAGAGGAGAGAAATTGGCACAGAAGTACCTCACTAAAGGGAAGCACAGGAGCGTACAGTTACAGTTACCTTCTCCAGCAAATTCGCCAAACATGTATACACCACCAAATGACTAAAAATCAGAGACGAGATGAGAGACTGCAGAGTGAGCAGTAGGGGGCTACAGAGAGCATGGCTCATCTCCCGCACACCTCTGAACTCTCAGCTGAAACCCCACAGCTCAGTCCAGGTGCACCTGTTCTCTAGAAACTGAGAGGCCTTTGTAATATCCAGTTCCAACAAAAGTGCAGGTTGCTTAGTGAGTGTCAGGGAAATGGAACTGCAGAGATTGCGGGTCATCTCCTACATGGCTCTGAATGCTCAGATTTAACTTCAAGAAAATAGGAAGAAACGTATAATCCATCAAATGACCAGAAACCACTGCAGAGGCACAAGAAATATGAGGAACAAGGAGAATATCTTTCCCTCAAGAGAAAAGAACAACCCCTCACCATCCACAGACAGTTCAGTGGAACTCGTGGACATGTCAGATAAAGATTTTGAAATATTCATAGTGACTAAACTAACAGAGAGGCAAGGACTAAACTGTTCAGTGGAGGCTCTGAAGACTCACAGAAAATTTTATAGGGAAGCTACAGGTGAGAACTGTGGAAGGCAAAGATGAACTTTAAAAGATTAGTATGTTGAAACTTTTTAAATTTAATACATTTAAGAATAGCATTAACATGTTTTGGAAGGAGTTTGGAGGCTATTCATACTTGTGTAAAAGGAGGCCAACAATTAGAGGCATAATTATTTAATGTAAAGCAGATAGGTGGGATTTCAGAAGTTTTTTTTAAAAGAAAATTAGCTCTTTTACAGTGTCCTTTAGGGACTCTAACAGCCTACGTACTTGTTAGAGTCTGTTCCATGGGAAAGAATCTTGAAACTGCAAATGACAAACCTGAAAATAGTGAGAACAAAGTATACAGACAAACGTACAATTAGTTGTTTTTCTTATATATAATATTTAAAGATAATGATCTAATTCATGACTAATGGCATTACATTAGTACAATTAGTTTTATTTATTATTACTATTTATTATTTTATTATTATTGTTGTTGTTTTAATAGACTGGGGAATTAGATGCCTCAGGAAAGGCCATTAAGGTTGTAACTTTGTCTGTAGAACTTTACATATTTACCAAAATATTTAAATTCTTAGCAATTTAGCTTTTAGTATATATCAGCGTCTTAGGAATATGTAGTTAATAGACAAGTAAAATAATTTTTTTCAATGTCCTGTAAAAGTTTAATATAATCAGTCACTGTCCCCCTTCCTTTTTTTTTTTTTTTAATTTTTTTAAAGGGGAAAAGCTGCTCTGTAAGAGGCATTAACATTTTTTTTGGGGGGGAGAGGTTTTTTTCATTATAGGGTCTGTGTGCTTGCCAGACAGA